AATCTGTTTGCCATCATGCCTACCAGCATCCTTTTTGCATGAGTGTTGTTCACTGTCCCAGGCTTCCAGAAAGTAAAACCCCAAAGCGGTTCAACCCAGAGCGGATTACAGGCAGGGAAAGGGGCAGGTGGCGCCATAAACAGTCCTGACCCACTTAACTGTGCCGCCTGCTACCTGTCCTGCCTCTGGCGTGAAGAGCTCAACTTGCAGGTCCCGACTGGCAGGATTTCTGGGCCATTCACTGGGCCCAGTTCTGTCTGCCAACTTGCACCCAGATGAAGGGCTGGTAGAGCTGATAATGCCACTGGGTGGGGAGGAATTCCAATAGGGATTGAGGTTAGATATCAGGAAAGACCTCACTGGTTTCCCCTGGGAAGGATGACTTGGGAATTCAGCATCCTAGGAGGCTCGGGAGTCCTGAGGCTGTGAAGAGGTGACTCTGGGATGTTTGGGGGATGGTACCCCACCATTACATGGGGCCCTGTATCTTTCCAGCCCCTTCATTGCCTGGGGATTCCGTGAGAGAGAGACAAAGAGGTGGGGGAGAGAGGCATCTCCTGGTGCTTTTGCAGTTTGCAAAAATGGTTTTCCTCCTTTTAATCTTTCAGTCTCTTTTCTGGAGTAAAATAGAGAACGTCGGCATTTCCTAGGGATACTGGGGGCTCTTTGTGTAGGACAGCAGGCCAGCAAAGTGGCAGGTGAAAGTGATCCCTAGTTATTACTCCTAGTTATTTCCTGGAATTTCACAGCCCTGAGAGCTAAACACAAATGTTACCACCCCCGTTTTACAGATGAGCGGTTGGGAGATGGAAATGCCTGGCTCAAGGTCACCCAGGCTTAATGCGCAGTGGGCCTGATACATCTGTTATGGTTTTCTACATGCTAGGCGTCAGGTGAGAGCAGGGGCGGGGGAGGGCCCCCTCCACCCCACGCGCTGGGGGGGGGATGGGGGATGGAAGGAAGAGGGGGGTTCTCTGGGCGGGTGACGTCACCGTCTTGCATTTGTCCTGGGGCGGGGCTGAGCGGGACCAGGTCCCAGTGGTTCCACGCGCCTTGGTTGCAATGGAGGTCGGGACCCAAAAGGCGTCTCACACTGAGAAATGATCCCAGTCGGGTAAAAGCTTGTCCTCGAGGATTCCGGGGGCTGGAGGTGTGGGGGTGGACAACTAGCGGGCGGCGTGTGTGAGGTGAGCCAGCCAGTAGGGATGGGAGTAGGGTGGGGTGGAGTGGGTGAGTGCCCCACGCTGACTCACCCTAATAATGGGCATTTCTAGGGTCCTCACTGTTTCGAGACCCTCGCATGCTGCCCCAACTTTGTTTTTAAGACATTTATTTATGCATACAAGACCTGGGGTGTAGGTCATAAGTGTATGTGGGGAGTGGGGTGGGGTTGAGAGGACTCACCTAAGAGCCCAGCGCTAAACAGGCAGCTTAGGGAAATACGCTGCTGAGGGGGGCCAGACCCAGACCAGAAAGGTCTGCTGTGCTATGCGGACTAGCTTCCTGGCCTGCTGAGGATGGACTAGCTTCCTGGCCTGCTGAGGATAGGGGAAGAACACCGTCTGCAGCAGCTGCAGTACCTGGTGACAGCTACACAGAGCTGTCTTTAACCCCATGTGCCACCAGGGAGGCCCCTCTCCCAATTTCTTTAAGTTCATGCCAACTGACTTAAGAACTAGACTCTGGGCCCAGGGTGAGTGACTTGTCCAGAATCACACCAGCAGTATTTTCTAGGCTCTGAATCTGAATCCC